TTTAAATTAAAATATTTACTTTTAAAATAAGAAAGAATTAAAATACCCTTTAATAAGAAATAATTAAAATATCCTTTTAGTAATAGAGAAATCAAAATAGACTTTATAGGGCTGTAGTAGAGTTAACCTAGCCATTCCTATAAGGCTAATGCGTGTTTGAACTACGTTATTTATTTATTCTGGTGCGATCTAATCTCTGACTTTGTTTTTCTTACTTATCTGGTAGCGGAAGCAGTTGTTGGTTTTGTTGAAGGCCCAAATCTCAACAAAAACACTACTCTACAAATAAGCACATTTTCCCTTGGTAAAAATCCTTCATCTCGTATAAATAAGTAAATTCTTTTGAAACGTAATCGTTTTATTGACTAATAATATTTATTTAAAGAGATATTTTTTAATTAAAATAAAATGTTGGATCAAAATGCTCCAAAAGAAAGAAAAAAAATAGTGTCCAAACTAACTATTTAATGCGTTTAGAGAATAGATACCAAATTATAAGAGTTGCTATAAATTAGGGGCCATCAATGCTATTATTCCTTTAAGTTGTAAAACTTGACTCGACTTAAAAAAATTTGACTAGAATTAATTTCGAGTTATAATTTCATAAACAATACTTGTAACCCCCTCAGACCGATTCGGGTAACCCGATCCGATTTGGGGTGTCACATTAGGGCCATCGGAGCGATCCACTGTAAAATCTCAGAAAATTTAAAACCTTTTATCAGAACATGTAAACTCATAAAATCATTTATCATTATTCAGAAATAATATAGATTTTCAGACTCGTATTTAAAACAAAATACAATTACATGCCCCCTAATCACATGTACCATACTCTGCAAACAACGCCGGAAGAACTCCCTTACTGAAGTCGATAGTTGCACTGGTACAATTCTTTTAATCTGCAATGGTGAGTAATAGAGTGAGCTTCGGAAAGCTCAGTAATACAGAACTACCAGATGATGCTGAAGAACGTGCAGATACAGATAAACATATATTTCCTTATTGGTTCAGGTATTTACAGATTTTTAGGCTGAGCTGAGATCCCATTGATATCTCGGGTAGTAACAGATAGTATTCAGTTCAAATGGAAATATTTTGGATGTCTAGGTTCAGGAGATCAGAATAGGTTATCTAGTGTGTTCCCATAAAACCAGTGAAGAGATACAAATCTTTTCTTTTTAAACAGTAGCAGTTTAAAAACATATTTTTTATTCAAAACCCATATTAATCCTTCCAACCGAACACTCCATAATGTGTATGCTCGCCAGAACCATACACCCACCTACACACCATGTAAGAACTTACCCTGAGCACAAAGCAGAAGAGCCTGCAGTAACGGTAACTTCCTCCAACAACACCCTCCCATAAAACATTTATCAAAAATCATATTATTCCCTCCAACCGAACACTCCATAATGTGTAGGTTCCACAGAACCTTACACCCTACCTGGACTCCTAGTAAATTCCATGATTCCAAATCAGGAACAGTTCATATTTTCCAGTGAAAACAGGAAACCATATAACACATTTCAGGTAACCATAATTCATAAACCATTAAATTCCATTATTTAATAAATCAAGTACAATTCATACTTTTCGATAAAAACTGAAATCGGAGATCACATACCATGTTGCCATAGTTCATAAGCTAGTAAATCAATACTTTCGTTAAAACTTATTGCAAACATATAAAATTGTCATGTAGTATATGTGGAACACACTAGAGGATCAAAATATTTATCAGATATTATTCAGAGATACTGGATAATCTTATTGGGCAAAGAAACATGGATCTTCAGTTTACCGATAGAATGTCAGAATTTAGAATCACTATAGGAAGGGTTCAATAACTGACGTAATCATCAGTTATTTAGAATATGAATTATCAGGATCATATCTTATTCGGACATTTTTCAGAAGTTGTACGTAATCAGAAGGGTATTTAGAATCCTTTACAACTATGTCGATTGATCGGATAATCGAACAACTTGAGACGAATAACTCTCAGAACAAATGTTTGTCGACTGATCAATTCATTGTCCTTCCAGGGTATTTACTCATTAATACCACAAATTATTGTCCATAGATCATATTTGGAATCATCGTTGAATAGATCTTAAGGAAACTAACAGATATTCCGACGCTCTTTATCTCATTTCCACGCTTCCACGATATCATGAAATGCTAACGTGCTTGATTTGTAGTTCATTACCTACAAGAACATTACATTATGTATGATCATTAACGTTTCCAGACTCATCCAAATCACTTACTTAATCCTCAGTCCTTGAGGTTACTTAATTCATTTAGCAGTCAAGTCTATTACAGTTACTTCGGGGTTTTCCAGAGTAATTCGTACGTTTCTGAATTTCAAATACATATTGTACTCTTGTTCCGTTCAATTTGGTCTTCATGGTTGATTTGTCTAATGAATATCCCCTTCTTAGTACAGAATGTGATCTAGAATTGAACTGAGTTGAATACTTCCAAAATTATCATCGAACCAAACTTGAGAAGTCGAACACGCATTCAAGTAACATCTATGCCGTTCTGGTACTGATATAACACTAGCAATGGTTGCTCGGCTTAATATGTGATCCATAACTTTTAAGATCAGTACCACACCCATGTCTATTTGGATTCCTAATTAATCCAAGACATTACTTAGTCTAGGTCATAAGGGTATTTTGGTCATTTTGATGCTCAATGTTTTTCCATTCATTTCAAAGCTTGAGGATGTCCATTCATTCCTGGGCTTGGTGATATTCTTGAGTATTTCAATCCTTTCATTCCGTCCGATCTTACTATTAAATTCAATCTTATCATTTATTTCAGTCCTTTCGAACAATTCTGACAAAAGAACACCCCCGATAAATTGTTCTTCAGGTATTTACTCATAACTCGGATATTTTCGGGTCAAGTGCCTTCTCAGATTTTACAAACATAATATCATGAATTTTTCTGTACAAAGACAGGATCTTAACAATTAAATCCGTAATTTATCGAGTTAATTACAAATCCTCAAAGTATTTCTCATTCCGGGTCAACTTGGACTATTTTTACCTTTCAAGGGCATTTTCGTAATTTCTTAACCAAATAGTTTCGGTATTAACTTTTTACAAAAATAATTATAATTTAAAGATCCTATGGTTAATTTCCTTTCAGAACATTTTCTAATCTTGAAATGATTCCTTAACAGACTTCTAGAATCTTGCCCAAACCCTCTTGGGGTTAAAAACCGGTTATCCAAATTTTCTAAGCAAAACTAGCATTTCTTATGCACAACATTAGTTTCACCATATCAATATGTCTTTAAAAATCCTTTATCTAACTTCTATGGTCAAATCTTGTGTTTTTACAACATAAAGGGTATTTTCATAATTTATCACTTAAACAATATTCGGTTCGAATCAATCAAATAGGCATAATAGACCAATCATATATATATATATATATATATATATATATATATATATATCCATGCATTTATCCATTATCAACATGTTTCATAAAGCATAAAGAGGTAGTAATGTATTACCTCGTTTTCTGTGCCATACTGATCGACCATATAATTTCCATTTGAATGTCCTCGATCTTTATTTCAACTTCCAATAATTCCTTAGATGCATATCAACAGAAATTACATAAAAACAGAGCTTAATTCCGAAAAAATGGATCGAATCGGGTGATAAATCAGTCAAAAACAGCTTACCGGGTTCGAATTTGGCAAAACGGACCCCAAAAACAGATTTGGGACGTCAAAAAACATAAAATATGACTTTTCGAAAATTTTGACTTTTTCAATCAAAGTCAACGGTCAAAGGCAACAGTTAAAGTCAACGGTCAACAGGGGTCAACGGTTAGTCAACGATTTTACACAAATATCACCTAAGCTCGATTCACAATTTTGAACGGTAGAGAGCTCGATTTCAACAAATCAGAAACTTTGACCACTTTACCTCCCTCACGCACCACCGCCGACGGAACAAGGAACACGATGGTGCGGGAGGTGTCGAAAACGGAGCAACGATTGGCGATAAATTTAAGATTTTCTCGGCGGTGGTGTTAAAAAAAATCGAAACTTTGACTCGAAATTCACGGCGTTTGACAGCGTTTCACTTCAATTGATTTAAGGGGTTTATTCATCGGTCGATGACAAACACGATGGTGATTTCGGTTCATCAAACGGACATCGGACGGTGAGTAGATCGGAGAGGAAAAGAGGGTTAACGGGGAGGGAAAACTGTGAAAAATATGCCGAAACAATGGGAAAAAGGGGTTTATAATTCATCCCATAAAAAAATGAGTAAACCATGAGTTTAGCCACTGAATTTCCTACACTTTACAAAACGGTCTGTCAACTTGGAAAATTTTCAATTTAATCCTCAATTTCTTCCCAAAATACCAATTAAATTCACCACTTTATAATTCTAAAATTTAGCTCCTAAATTGGGGTGTTACAATACTCGACTCGAAAAAAATTTAAATTCGAGTCGAGTTATGAAATAGAACTCGAATAATTCGAATGACTCAAAATTTTTAATAATTAATGGATTAGTTTTCAAGTTTCAGTCGAGTCCTTTGACTCTATAATATATACATATATATATGAAAATAAATATGAAGAAATATATATTTATTATATATGGTTATAGAAAATAATTTAAATTAAAATCAAATAATATTATAATATTATAAATATTTACTATTAAATTAAAATAAAAAATTAAACAAATATACTCCAATCAATTTAAAAATATTTAAATCAAATTTGAGTAATAAATAATACTCAATTAACTTAAATAATTAAAAAAAATTATTAGATTCAACTGGATTGAGTCGAACACTCACTCTTATCCCTAACACAAAAATAAACTTTTTTTTTTGGGGTCTGACATGTCTGACGTCCCGTCAAGGTGCCCTCCCTTTACCACACTCCTCTTATGTTGGCTTTCCCATAATTTAGCATAAAATACCCCCTTCTGCTTCCTCTTCCACTTCCTTTCCTTTCTCACATGTATTGTCCTGTGATGAGCTGAGTAATGGATGTCTCCAATACCAGATGCAGTATACAACCAAACCACTTACTCTCACTTTGATCATTCTCCTGTTGTTGCTACTCATGGTAACATATCCATCCAACTATAATACTTCGTTTTATGTTCGCATCTCAGTTTCTAATCTCTCCACTTGCATATATAACAGTTGCATGGTTGATATAGGATCTCCATCTTCCCTTCTTAGTTATAAATTATGGTCTTTGTTAGTAATGAACTTTATAAATATCAGTATCCACTCAGTTATGGGTTTTGAGGATTGGACTGAAATCTCTTTCCTTAAGTTTTCCTTTACTCTCTTTCTTATCTTCTTTTTTTTTTCTCCAACTCCTTTAAGCACCAACACAATTGATTTGGTTTAGATTGATTGACCCATTCGATTTGATATATTTCTTCCTGAGAATTAAACTTTCCTTTTTCTCTTGTTTCAAAGATTTGCACTTGTCCACTACCTTTTGAATACACAGACTTCAGAGCATATTTTAACCAACCTATGTATACATATCAGGTATGAACTGAATATCATTTTGGTTTCAAAATTTTCGGGTTGTATATTTGTATTTATATGAATTAACTAGAAATACATGTCCTATAAAATGCAGGTGAAGATCGATCATCTGATCTGGATTCTGAAGAAAAACTGACTGATTCAACTGATTGTATACTCTACAACACCTTTCCAACTGAATCATGAAAGCCATAATTGATCTGGAATTTGATGCCCCAGAAATGGAGTCGGATGTTAGCAGCCAAGTAGCTTCAAACTTGTCCACTAATGATACAAATTCAGACCCTCTTTCACTTGATTTAACTCTATACTTCAACATGCATGGCCATGGGACAGACACCGTGGGACTCTCGTTGTCAAGCACAAGCGTAAGCACCAGCAATACCGACCCCGCAGTGCGCGCAATGGCCTCGGCCATGCCTCGAGTTTTTTCCTGCAACTACTGTCGCCGCAAGTTCTTTAGTTCCCAGGCTCTTGGAGGCCACCAGAATGCACATAAAAGAGAAAGGACGTTGGCCAAGCGGGAGATGCGAATGGGCAATGCCGGTCTTAGTCTTGCGGCGGCTCTGCCTTTGCTCGGCACAAGCGCCTCTTTCAGGTCACTGGGGATCCAAGCACACTGTTCGACACACCAAACCTTTGCAGCGACACCAAGAACACACAATGGTATAGTTGAACATGGTTATGTTGGTGTCCCGATCTTCATGGAAGATGATGAGTCTGAGCTGTTGTGGCCTGGTAGTTTCCGTCAGATAGCAGCAGGTAGTAACACCGCTGATCATCCAGGTTTTGTACTACCTGGAAGTTCTTTAGTGGAGCTTAACGAACCAGTTTACTTGGAAGACAGTTCAGAGCCAGATCTGACCTTGAAACTTTGAGGCTTTGCCTCTTGGGAAAACACAAGTTATGTATCTCAAAGTTTAGGTCAAAAATCGAGGTAAAACTCTACTCTATTAGAGTTTATTCTTCCTTTCACGTTACTTGAAACGAAGCTTTATTAAATGGGCACCAAATTGTTTACCATTCCACCAAATTATGTATCTTCAATTTGCTTCTTTGTACAGCCAGACCAGCACTAAACTATGCCTGGATAGGCTTTCCCCTTCACCTTTCTATACTTCGATTTCTAATTTATAGACTGCTCTTTCTCGTACCAAATATTTTTTTTTAATTGTTAGTACAATTATAAGGTAGTATCTCAATTGACAACATATATCATATCAGCGCATTTACTTAAACTCAAAACTTCTAAAACAAACTTCGTTAATTTTAAAAGAAACCACTTTATGGATTCTCGTACCAAATGTTTTTATTTTCTTCCCTCTAAGGTCATTCTTATATAACATTTTTTTATTCTATAACTTGCTCCAAATAGAAGAAAACAATTAAACAAGTGTTGAGTGTTTTCAAATTCAATTATTATAAAGGATAAATTATGCATGTAGTACCTAAACTATCAATTTTGATCTGTTTTAGTACTTAAACTTTCAATTTTTTTCAAAATCATACCTAACGTTTAGTTTTGTTTCATTTTAATACCCCTCCGTTAAAAACTCAATGCGTTTTTGTACCTAAACTTTCATTTTTTTCAAAACTTAACGTTAAATTTTGAACATGGTACTAAAATAAAAACTAAGTTTTATGTATGATTTTTAAAAATTAAAAGTTTGGGTACTATTGATAGTTTAGGTACTAAACACATGATTCACCCTATTATAAATAATATTGTAAAAAATAATTATAAATGTCAAATATAAATCATAAATCGATAATTAAAAAAATTGTAAGTGCTAAATAATCTAAAAAAAAAGAAATAAGATGGTAATCATATACATAATCATTAATGAGATTATATGTTCTATTTCAAATGATTTTTGAGAATTGATATAAATTAACAACTTTTAACCGTCTGCTTTAAACATTGTTAATGATATAAATAACACTTTCAATTGTTAGATTTCAAGAGTTAAAAATATAAAAGAACCGCAGTAAAATATTAAAATTATCTTTAATCCTAAAGAGTGACATTCATCAAAGAATAGAAAGAAAAAGAATCCATTGAAAATGTTTCTCGATTTTTTTTATTTTTATTTTTATTTTTTGAATAACAGAAGATAAAAGACAAGCTAATTGATAGTGCTCTGGTTCATTGCACAGCAAGCATCCTTAAAAAATTCTTACCTAATTTCTTTCGAGGTTGTTTGAAAGAAATGTATCCCAAATGGTCTTGTCCTGCCATCCACAGCAATACATCTGCAACGCTATTGTTCTCCCGAGAAGCAAATGTAACCTTCAAACTCCAGTTCCTAACAAGAAGCTGCTGAATACGTGGAACCAGTGTTTTAAATAGCATTCGCGGTAACGTTTTCGGTCGCGTTCATCACGGTTGCAGATATAACGAATGTTATTATGGTCATTGCGGATATCGCGATCGTGAATTTTTTTCGAAGGAGATGATTTTTTTAATAAAAAATTAAAGTAACGGAATAATACCGGAATAGCGGTACGCTATTTCCGTGATTTGCCGCGATCCATTAAATTACGGCCGCGATCCGCCGCTGTTGGTGTGATCCCGCTTTACACCATTATTTTCTACGATGGCATTTTAGGACACCGCCGCAATCACGATATATCGACCACGCCACCGCTAATCAGTCGCTATTTGAAACCCGCGTGGAACCATCGAGGAATCTCTGTTCCCACCTAAGCCAAATCCAATTTTAGATAAAGTGCTAAAAAAAAGAGTTCTCAGCATCTACACCTGTCAGTGTTTGAGTTCTTGGGTAGTTGACTTGTTACGAGCTGTTAGCTGGGTTGTTAACCCCAACGTCATGCGTTATAACTGCATGCATGCTTTGTACGTTCTATAAATATCATGTATTACTGATCTTAAAAAGCAGTTCAATGAAATATGTTCTGTGTAAAGATGTTCTTGCTTAGCGTTTCTTCCATCATTAAAAACTCTCTTGCTTATCGTTTCCATTATGCATATACTCGGTTTTCATGGCTTTACTTGCTAAAAGATAAATCGCAAGCTTTAGATATGTCCAATGTGTTTCAAAAAATAGTGTCTACTCAGTTTGAGTTGTCAGTTAAGGCAGTGCAAAGCGACTGGGGTGGAGAGTTCAGGAGTTTATCTGCGGTGCTAATCAAGGCTGGAATCTTACATCGAATTACTTATCGTCATACCTCGGAACAAAACGGCGTGGTAGAGCTAAGCATCTTCATTTTGTTGAGCTTGCCCTTGTGTTATTAGCTCAGGCTTCTATGCCTATTAAGTTTTGGTCACATGCAGTTGTAATGGTTGTTCATCTGGTCAACAGATTACCCACAAAAGTGTTGAGTGATATCTCTCCATTTGAGAAGCTGTATGGGAAGAAACCATACTACAGTATGTTAAATGTATTTGGTTGTCCTTGTTTCCTGTAATAAGGCCATTTCAAAATCACAAGTTGACCTTAAGTCCAAAGCCATGACTCTTCTAGGGTTGAGTCCTCGGTATAAAGGGTACCAATGTCTTGCTGAGGATGGTCGAATATATGTAACCAGGCATGTTATTTTTTATGAGTTGTATTTTCCCTTTGCAGACAAAATTTCCAAAGACGTGGAGGTTGGCTCAAATAATCAAAGAGTCGTACCATCGATATTGTAGCAGATCTGAAAAAACTGCAACATTGTACTATGCAATAGTAGAGCACGAAGTTCAGACCTCTAGCTCACAGGCTCAATATACTAGCTCCAAGTTAGATGGTCAGGCAAGTGGAAATAGTAATGTTCTCGAACTTAGTGATGCGATTGTCAGTAGTGACCATACTAGTGTTGTGCATGAGTATGGGTATAACCATGTGGATGAGATGACTAGTAATCAGGTAGTTGAGTCGAGAAGTAACACAGCAGATGTAAATCACCATCCAATGCTTACAAGAAGTAAGTGTGGTATATATAAACCAAAGGCCTATACAAGCTACTTCGAAGATAAAGTGCCTTCTATCGTGCATAAAGCTCTTCAATCCCCAAGTTGGAAATCTGCAGTGCATGCTGAGTACAATGCACTTCAAAGTAATAATACTTGGGTCTTGGTCGAGCTTCCTAAAGGTAAAGCAGCATATGGGTGTAAATGGTTATTCAAGTTGAAGAGGAACCTAGACGACTCTATTCGTCGATACAAGGCGTGGCTCGTGGCTAAGGGCTATTTACAAGTTCCTGGACATGACTTTAAGGATACATTTAGTCTTGTGGTAAAGTTTGCTACCCTAAATGCCATTTTGTCTATTATAATCAGGGTTTTAAATCACGTTCTGAAAACGTGATTTCGTCAGCAAAATTGCACACGCAATAGCGCCCAATAGCACCAGCGACGACCGTAATAGCGACTGCGACGGTCACAATCACGGTAAACCCGAAATGAACAAAAACGCGACCACGACCGCAATTTGAAATCCTGATTGCAATATCAAAGAAATGGGATATGCGCCATGTGGATATTAATAACGTCTTCCTCAACGGCGACTTGAATGAGGCATATACATGCAACACCCTCCAGGCTCCAAGCAATATACTGCTAATGATACGTCGCTTGAGTGCAAACTTCAGAAGGAGTTATACGGGTTACGTCAAGCTCTTAAAAACTAGCAGTACAAACTCAAAGAGGGTCTGATTTAAATGGGGTTTACAGTGTCACGGGCAGACACTAGTATGTCTGTGAGGCACAAAAAGAATGGTTCCACCCTGTTTTAGTACGTCGATGATATTCTTATTACGGGGAGTCAAAATCTAAGATTACAAATGTAGTGAGATTGCTGAATGAAAGGTTCTCTCTCAAAGATTTAAGAGACCTGAGCTACTTCTTGAGCATTGAAGTCAAGCGTTGTGATAATAGTCTTGTGCTCTGTTAAAAGAAGTTTACTTTGGATTTGTTGGAGAAAACGGGCATGACAAAAGTTGCGTCAACGTCTACCTAAATGGTTGCAACGCCAAAGTTGGCATAAGGTGAAAGAAATGTGCTAGCAAATGCAAGTAACTACCGAAGCATTGTAAGGTTTTTACTATATTTGGTCACACAAGGTCAGACATTGCCTATAGCTCAAATTTTTCTGTTAGATGAGGATCCTAAAACTTTTGAAGAAGCTATAAGATCTATCGATTCTAGTTTTGGAAAAGCGCTGTTAGTGATGAACTAGAATCGATAATGTCTAATCATACTTGGGAATTAGTTGACTTGCCTAAGGGATTAAAACCAATTTCCAACAAATGGGTCTTCTGGAAGAAACTAAGGCCAGATGGTTCGATTCAGCGGTACAAGACAAGGTCAGTCGTCAAAGGGTTCACTCAAAGGTTTGGTTTAGACTACTTTGATACATATTCTCCCATTACAAAAATCTCAACGATTCGTGCATTATTTGCACTAGCCTCTATTCATAAGTTGCAGGTGCATCAAATGGATGTTAAGACTGTTCTTAAATGGAGATCTAGATAAGGAGATTTACATGGAGCACCACTAGGTTTTGAAGCACCTGGTATGGAAGACAAAGTCTGTAGACTCAAAAAGTCACTCTATGGACTTAAGCAGGCTCCTAAAGAGTGGTATGAGAAATTTCATAAAACTATTCTTAGTTTTGGTTTTGTTGTGAATGGTTCAGATGCTTGTGTATATTCGAAGATGTTTGACACTGAATGTGTTATCATAAGTCTTTATGTTGATGACATGTTGATTTTCAGTTCTAACATTGAGTCCATTAACAAAGTTAAAAATTTCTTGTCCACTAAGTTTGAGATGACAGATTTGGGAGAAGTAGATGTATCTTAGGAGTCAAAGTTACCAAAACTGAGAAGGGATTTTCTTTATGTCAAGCACATTATATAGAGAAAGTGCTAAAGAAATTTGACAGTTTTGATGTCGTCCATGTTCGAACTCCTTATGACCGTAGCATACATCTAGTTAAGAATAAAGGAAGTAACGTTTCCCAAACTGAATATGCTAAGTTAATCAGAAGCTTAATGTTCTTAATGAACTATACTCGGCCTAATATTGCTTATTCTGTGAGTAG